TCTGTTCTCATCCTGAAGCAAAGTTCTTAACCCCAGGTACGATTTCTGGGTTAGCGGAGTCTGTAACCTGAAGCGTCAGTAACCAACGAATCCCATTGTTGGAAAGAACTTAAGAGCTGAAAGAGGAAGCAGGAAAGAGAAAAAAGGGAACCACCCTCACAAAAAGCAGGTAATGGGTGAGTGGGTGGCCTAGACACAAAGTCATGTTGGCATTTCTTGGCCTAAATGAACCTTTGAACCCCATTCAGAGGCCTGGACAAATAACACCGCTTTCAAATTCTGCCTGACCGCAACCAGGACAGGGGAATGCCTGGTCTCATCTGAGAAGGAGTTCCTAAGGTGAAATATTGTCTGCCTCATATTCACACCCTCCTTGCCGTCCACAGCAGTGGTACTTTGGGAAGAGCCTCTCCCTCTGATCATCACAGAAGTATGTGTAACGTCTCTCATATTTTTTCCATGTAACATTTTTACAAATCAGTTTCATTTGTTGAGACATTAGGAAGAAAAGGGGGGGAGGGGGGGAAGATGGGTGGGGTCGGGTGGTGAGGTTTCTATTTTGCTTAATGTACGGTATGTAGGGTTTGGTGTCAGCGTTACTCCTGCCGGTTCTCTGCTGTTCACTTGTGTTCCTTTGGTGGTGAGAGAGGTTGGGGCTGGCCTAGGGTGTGGTTGTTTGTGCTCCCTCTGATCATAAAACGCCATGTTGGGATACATTTATGGCTGCCTTGAACAGTTTCAGTTGTGGACTTACACATGTTTAGGTTTATTGTTCCTTGTATTTTGAGCCAAACAGAGGGACAGACCCTCCAACTGTCCCTGTTTTCCAGGGATAGTCCCGGATTTACAGAAGCCACCCCACTTTGCGATTTTTATCCTGCTTTTCCTCATGACGTCCTTACTTTCATCAGAGAAATGTTGAGGAGAATGTTGGAGGTTATGAAATGGCATTACTACTACTATTATTAATCGTCTGATTTCCTACCCATTGAATTCAGTAAACACCAGAGCACCTATGACAAACTAAAATAGATAGCAGGGTGGGTTTTTTTTTTTACAAATATGTTTTGTTTTAATTCTAATTGTATTGCTTCATCATTTTGGTGTTTGCCACCCTGGGTTCCTTTGAGAAGGGAGGGCAGGATAGAAATTTTATAAACTGTAATAGCCCCAACAGCAGAGGAAAAGTCTAGCAATGTGGAAGTTGCTTGGAACTTTTCTTGAAGCAAAGTGACCGTCAATGTGAAGACCTTGGCAGCTGGGCTGAATGATACAGAGGAGAAAAATAAACCTAATTAAGAGGTGCGGAAGTTCAACAGCACACAGGTGGGTGAAACCGTGACAGACTTTGAATGTTTTGGCAAGATGCCAGTGTGAAATGAGTGGCACCTGAAGGTGACGGCAAATGACAAGGACACTGGTTACACACACACATATACACACCCTACCCCCTGAGAGATTTTGGATACATGAAAGATTGAAGAGTTTTAATGTCCACCACCGGGCCCAAGTTATAAAATGACAAAAGAGTCTTGTGTGCTTTCCACCTTCCAAGTAGTGTGGGAGGTAGATCAAGGGTCTAAACATTCCTATATACAGAAAATATTTTATTCTTTTTCCAGATTAAAAGTCACATTTTGTTGTTCAACAGTTCTGTTCCAATTCAACAAACCTAGTGACTTCCTGCTCACCCAACACCAATGTTTATAACCCAATTACATACAATTGCGTTTTAAAGTTCTGTTGTTTTTCTGTTGCATTTATGTTCTGCTAGTTTCTTACACTTCAAACCCCGCTTTGGTCTTTGCGTATGGAAAATAACTTTTTAAATAAGACTATAAAGTATTTCCAGTCCTCCTTAAAGGATTCTAAATTTGTGTCTCTAATCAGTGTCGTTGGTTTTGCCATCTCTGCATATATTCCAAGATTTTCATCAACCATCCTTCAAGGGGGTTCTTTCATCCTTCCATTTCTGTGCATAGAGAATCCTTGCCGCTGTAGTTACATGTGTAAACACAGTTGATGCTTTATTTGGAATTTCGCTGTCTAATATCCTCAGCAGGAAAGATTCTGGCCTTTAAAAAATTTCATTATACGTGTTTCATGTCCCAAAAGGCCTTGAGCCATTTCATGAGCATTTTACCCAGGATCACATTGACCAGTTATATCCTGGATGGTATTCAAACTTTCCACCTTTTTCTTTCAATTTCAATTTAATTTCCCCTTCTTTTCTTATCGTTAAGGGCACCCCAGAAGTACAGAAATGGAAAGTAAATTCGGCATCCTGCCAGTCTCATTGTGCCCCCCCCCTTAAAGACAATTTCTAGTCCTTATGAGGGCAATATAAGCTTGTAAGCGTATGAGCTTGCGGTGGAGTGTGCAGAGGTGAGAGGTTGTGAATTGTGCAAGGCCCCTGTAGCCAGGTGTTAAGTTGTGGGTGAACATATCAGACGACACAGCGATTCTTCCAAAGCAGCTCTTTATTTGTAAGCTGGAACAGAACTGAACTGAAGGCCTCAGTCAGCCTGCTTATATAGAGCTCCAGTACCTTGTTACTGTAACAACTTTCTAAAACTATTCAGTCATTGAACGTCACTTTTGATCCTTCATTTGCATACAAACTATCCAATCACTGAACGTCACTTTCCATCCTTCATTTGCATAACTATCTACAGTATCTCCCTGCTGGCCCAGGGTGAGAACTTCAGTACATAACACCAGCCATGGATTTGAACCAGGCTAGCTCCATGTCCCTGACACAAGGGGTTTCACAACTACACAAACAGCGACAAATTTCAGGAGGAAGCCAGGAACAAAAGCTTCGAAAGAGTCTTCTGTGAGCCAGACCCCACTTGCAAATTCACATAAAAAAATAAAACCTCCATGTTGTGACCCATAAGGAAAATCCAAACTCTGCAGCTGGGAAACACTTTTATTAAAATCAACAAAACTCGGTATCACAATTGTCCTTGTAAGCTTTTGAAAATTAATAAAATGCAATTCACAAAAAAAACAACAAAATGTCACAAAATAGGGGGCAAGCTTTTGGGTTCTTCAGTTCTCTTCATCAGGCTAGATGCTACACAAAGTGGGGTAGGAGGACGAGGAATCCTTAAAGTGCAAAAATTAGTTTGGATGTTGGAGCTGGGATGGAATCTACAGTCTGTTAACAATACTATCCAATTTGGCTTTTTCTTACCTGAAACGCCACATATGAGGAACCTTAGGCCCTGCAGAGGTTGCTGAACTACAACTGCTTTCACCCCGGGCCATTAGCCATGCTGGCTGGGGCTGATGGGAATTGTGGTTCAGCAACATCTGCAGGGCCAAAGGATCCCTGCAAAATTGACCTCTGACTTTGCTAATACGTAGGTAGACTGCCTTGCTTCTTTTTACTGCTGTTGTCTGCCTAAGTAGGAACCTACACATTCTGCTTTAAGGCATGAGACAAGCCTGGGTAACAGCTGTGCTTTGTCCTTTTTCAAGGTTTGCCATACATCCGAATTTTCCGGACATATCCAGAATACTGTAGTTGGTAGCAGTAGCTGGGCAGAAATTGGGAAAATGTTCGGGAAAATCTGGATGTATGGCAACCCCGTGTCGGCAGTGTCGTTTTTGCTGGTTTTCCATAAAAATAGCTCAACAACTTTTCTGCCTGGATTTTCACTGTTTGAAATAAGGCAACCCTATTTAAACATGGGGACCAACCACTGTTTTGTTATTCTCAAATCCCAGCAATGACCTGACCTGCAATCTCCTTTTTGAGACTGCTATGACTAAAATAAATGCAGACCTCATGGCTGCAACATTCACACCATTATTATTATTATTATTATTATTATTATTATTATTCCTCTTCCTCCTGCCACCTGCTTTGTCTAACATCCAGCCTGACGAAGAGTGAAGTTGGAAGCTTGCTCACTATTTCATGAGATTTGGCTTGCTCCCAAGTATGAATTTTGAAGCACACCATGCTTCCCACATTTCAATATGTTACAGGTTTGGTGTTTTAGCAGTTAAAGTTAGGATTTTGGTGGGAAAGGAATGTAGCAGGTGTTAGTGGTAATAAAAATATCCAAATGCTGTTTCTCTGCCCCGCCTTTCCAGGCATTTGATGTTAATTCATCATGATTGAACATAATGTATATTTTATACGTTGTATGTCACGAAGGCTTCTAGCTTTACAATAAATTACTCACATACTTTAGAAATTCTGTTTAATCTTTGTGGCATCAAATGCCGCATACAGATGATTTTGTAGAAGTCTTCTTTCAGATTTCAATGTGAAGTATATCTATTGCTTCCAAAATAACCTTCCACCTCTGAAATGGATACGACACGCCTAATAATATTATGTCATGGAACTTTAAAGTGATGATCTTCACCCCTGAACCATATCTGATAATAGGCTATAATTTTTTAACAGCATCCATTAATATTTTCTCTGCCTTCAGTACGTTTTTATTGGACATTGTGTGTGTGTTTTAAAATTATAATGGGAACTGAAGACAAATGCAAATTGTTCATGCATCCAAAATGAGGCAATTTTTTCCAGGATTTTAATTGGCTTTTTGGCATTGGGACATTCTTCCTTATCTTAAAGAAAATTGACACCTTCAAACGTTGTTTTTCAAATGTGACTTTGAAGGATGCTTTTACCTCTGCAACTGATGAATTGGAAGTACCCTTGCTTTCGCCTTTGTTTTTCGCCCCAGCATCTAGAGTTGGGGATACTGGAAAGGGCTGGGCTTTTTTTGGGGGGGGTGTTAAAGAGTGAGATGGAACAAAGCCCCTAAGTCACAGCAAGGTCCTTCCGGCAACGCTGAGCTTCCTCGCCTCTCATTGCAAAAAGTAACCACTGTTTTGAAACCAGAAATTAAATGGTCACCATAGAAAAAAACGACCCCGGCCCCCTGCCTAAACTTGGCTTTGTTTGTTTCGTTTGTGCTGTGCGATCAGTTCGATTCGGAGGATGGGAGAGAAGGCGGAGGAGGATATTGTTATTGCAGGTTCTCTTTAAATTAAAAAAAAGGGTACCTCTTTTGCACTGTGACTGTTTCCTGCTTCTGGGGTGTGTGTGTGTGTGCTCGGGAGCAGGAAACAGGAGCTGCAAAACCAAGGGAAGCGAGTGCGAGGCAAGAGGCTATACCAGGCCAGCCAGGAATGAGATTTCAAAACACTTCCTCCTCCTTCCAGAAATGTGATCGCCGTTTTCTTTGGGCAACGGGGAGGTGTGGCGGAGCATCCTTAGGCCACAGAAGGTGAAGCCACCACGTGGGACGCGTGGCGGTTCTGCCAGCCTGATGATGATGGCACACTTCGTGGCGTGAGCCCTGGGGGAGGGGGAGAGAAAGGGAGAGAGAGAGATCGGCTGGATCTCGAGGAGCGGGAGAGAGAGAGAGAGCCACCAAAGAGGGGGGAGGAAGCCCCTGAAGAGAGCCTCCCCCCTCCCCCCAGCAAGCACCCACTTCTACAGCTGATGAGGATGGAGGATCTTTCCCCACCAAGCGGGGAGGTGATGTAAGTCCAACCCTCCCCACACCCTTAACCTCGCCGCCTCCCTGCAAGAATAACCGGGGGAGGCGGGTGTTGGGGGGGAGGGAGGAAGAGGGGGGAGGGCGGGGGAGGTGGTTGCATAAGGGGCGGAGGGGAGAGCATCCGTGGGGGCAGCCAGGTGGTGCCTCCCCACCAACGCGCTCTCCCACCGCTGCGTCCTCCTGGGGGAGAGGATGATGATGACGAGGCTGTTCCCGGGAGAGAGGGGAGAAGGTCCCCCTCCCCTAACTCTGGGGTGGGGGCACCGCAGGACAGCCCGCTGGGGGCTCCGGGGCCTCGGCCCAGCGCCTGGCCGGCGGAGGCGCTTCCTTCCTTAAACAGACAAGATCGCCTTCCTGGAGCCAAGGCTCGCTCCATCCCAGTTATTTGTGCGATGCTTGACCCCCCCCCCCCGCATCTAACTGTATGGCGAGCTCCCAGCACTCCGTGCCCTAGATCTGCCCCTTTTGATCTCCCCCCACCTCCCTATCTGCTTCGCTTGCATGCTGACCCCTTGCAGCTCTGCTCCCCCCACTCCTAGCTATTCCTCAGATCTGCTGACCAAGCGCCCCATCGTCCCCAAGTGCCTGCTCTCCCCTTAACTTAGCATTCTACTTCCCGCCCCCCATCAAGCCCACCCTTTCCCCCTTCTCCTCGTCTAACTGCAGGCCAGGTGCTGCTCTCCCTCAACCCCCGTTTTCCACCGGGAATCATAGATTTGCAAGTTGGAAGGGACCCAGGTGAGGGTTGCATGCTGCCCCCTGGCCCAATTCCACATTGTCCCCACTCTGGGTTTTCTTCCCAGCTGGTTTACCCCACCTGGCCAAGCCCTGTTCCTGTTGCTTAGTGTCCCCCTGATAAACTGCACCCGCTCCCTTTAATAGGAAGCTGCCTTATACGAAATCAGTGTTGTCTACACTGACGGGCAGGATTGAACCTGGGACCTTCTGCATGCAAGGCAGATCCTCTCCCACTGAGCTACAGCCCTTTCCCCTGACACTCCTTACCTTCCTTACCTTCTATCCTGACTTCATTTGCATTTCCTGCTCCTGGGATTGTGCTGCACCATATCCTAACTGCATTCTGGCCTCTGTGCCCCACTGGCTGCCCTAATCTCCTACCAAGAATTAGGAATTAGGCTCCCACATTCACATTGTATTTGCTGGACAGCTGTTTTCATTTCCTTCGCTGCTCAGCTGTGCATAACCGCCCTGGATCAGGGCCTCCTCCATTCACCTGCCCCTACTTTCCATCCCTGGGTATGTTTTTTCTTCCTCTCCCCCCACCATTCAAATCAAACTGCATTCCCTGTGACTCCCCGCACCCATGCTGTATGCTGGTTACTATCCCGCTGTGTCCCATAAATTGTATTTTGATTCCCTTACCCAAGACTTGCTCCCTTCTTATCTAATTGCTTGCTATTCTCCTTGTCCCAGAGATCTGTAACACTATTCCAGTCCCATTGGACTTCAGGGAGCATGCTACTCCCCCCCCCAAAAAAAATCCATTCAATTGCATGGTGAATTTCCTGTTTGGTTGCTTCCATTTTCCCCCTATCCTGCTGATTCACCCCATTCCCAGGAACTTATTTCAGTTTTTCCATTTTTTTAAAAAATATTGACCCTAAGCATATTCTCTACCTCTGCCTAATCAAATTGTGCAAGGCTGAGTTTGGGGCTCACCCTTTGGAATTTGATTTATGAAGCAATAATAACAGAGAAGAATGCCTCTGAGTACATGCAGAGTACATATGCCCCACCAGCGAGTAGCCACTGCTTGTCCCTAGGTATTGAGGATGATAGAACTTCGCCCCAGCCAACCATCCTGCTGGGTCTGCGATAAACAGGCCCCTCTGTTGTTTTCCTGTGGTTTTGCATCTGTTCCTTAATCATATGTATTGTTGAGCATTGGTAATATTGCCTTGTAACAGAAAAGGTGGGAGGACTGAGCTGGTGTGCTTGAGGAGTGAGTGTTTTGTCTCTGAATCCTTCATCCCTGTGTTCTCCCATTCCCCGCCACCCAGCTCCCTAAACATCAGACTTCTGCGATCCCTTTCACCCACACCATGGTGCCTTGCCAGGGTTTAATGCCAGTGCCCCAATCTCAAGATGTGACCTTAGTTATATCCTTCCCTGGGTGGGAAGGCAGGATGCAAATTTAACAAATAAAAAGGTGTAGCCTTTACTAAATAGTGGTGCTAAATTATGTTTCCTACTCTGTTGCTCTTAAGCGGTGATCTGACGGGGCACAATCTGCTGGGAATTTCTCCAATGCAGCCCCCCCCCATTGAAATGAATGGGATCTACGCAATACAATCCTCTGGATTATCTTTTCAGTGCTGGGTCTGTGCAACATGTAAAGTAATAGATGAGAATGCCTTTGCACATGTGCAGAGGGCTCATGGTAGGCCCTCCATGCATGAGCAGTCAGAGGGAGGCATAAAAAGGTAAAGGGACCCCTGACCATTAGGTCCAGTCGTGACCGACTCTGGGGTTGCGGCGCTCATCTCGCTTTATTGGCCGAGGGAGCCGGCGTACAGCTTCCAGGTCATGTGGCCAGCATGACTAAGCCACTTCTGGCAAACCAGAGCAGCACATGGAAACGCCATTTACCTTCCCGCCGGAGCGGTACCTATTTATCTACTTGCGCTTTGACGTGCTTTCGAACTGCTAGGTGGGCAGGAGCTGGGACCGAGCAACGGGAGCTCACCCCGTTTCCGGGATTCGAACCGCCGACCTTCTGATCAGCAAGTCCTAGGCTTTGTGGTTTAACCCACAGCGCCACCTGCGTCCCTAGAGGGAGGCATAACTGCCTCCTAAACTTTCAACATTTTCATTTTTTCTGTCTTATATTTGAATGAATTCTTAAACATTCATTGCCTGCCCCAGCTGTGGTCTGAGGCGACTAGTGGGATCTCTGGAGCATTTTCACATTGTCCCCGATTATTATTATTTATTATTATTATTTATTGAATTTATATACCACCCTATGCCCAGAGGTCTCAGGGCAGTTCACAAAATAAAATCAAAATAGAAAACCTCAAAATACATAATCAAAATAACAACAACCACAACCCAATAACACCCCGCCCAAAAAAAACACCCAACATTTTAAAAGGGCATAGGATGTCAATCAAATCAACCAAAGGCCTGGTTAAAAAGGAACATTTTTGCTTGGTGCCTAAAGGTGTATATAATGAATGCGTCAGGCAAAGTTCCCTGGGGAGAGAATTCCACAGATGGGGAGCCACTGCAGAGAAGGCCCGTTCTCATGTTGCCACCCTCCAGACCAATCGAGGAGGAGGCACATGAAGAAGGGCCTCAGAAGATGATCTCAGGGTCTGGGTCGTCTGCTTCAACAATCACTCATAGCTGAGTAGGTTCATATGGAAAGAGCCGGGTCTTGAGGTACTGCGGTCCTGAGCCATTTAAGCATTTATAGGTCAAAACCAGCACTTTGAATTGGGTCCGGAGACTAATTGGTAGCCAGTGCAGTCGGACCAGGATCAATGTAATATGCTTGAGTTCATCTGGCACATTTTGAAGGGTGAAAAAGTGCTTGCTTTAGTGGTTCTGTCCCATGTTTAAGAGGCAACCTTCTACAGCAGTGCTGTGCTGGATTTTTTTTTTAATTTTTAAGTGCAGTGTTCTTTCCCCTGCACGCATTGTGTTCACCTCGTTGATCATGGCCACATAGGGGAAATGGAGCATTTATGGTTTTAACATGAAATCCTCTCGAACATCTTCCCACTTAGTGGCTACTAGTGGGATCTGCAACAAAAGCTTGTGTCTCTTGTCCTGGGCGCCAGCCAGCCCTGCCCTGCCCTCCTCTGTTCCAGCATGCGAAGCTGTAATAGACTCAAGCAGCCCAGTTTCCCTCTTTCCCTTCCCTTTTCAATGTTCTGTTTTTCCATTTCAAGCCGGCATTCATCATTCCAGGGCTCTTCTTGGTTACACAGAGTATTCCCAGTCCTCATTAGGCTCTTTGTTGTGTAGCCTTCTTTAGGGCATTTTTCTTTGGGCTTGTGGTTCCCCCAAACGCCTTGATAACCTTCCTATTGTTTATCAATGGCCCCATTATGGATCCCTTGCAGTTGGCTGGCATGAGGGGTGGTGGTGAAAGGAATTTGCTATCAGAAAAAAGCGACAGGATGAAGCAGAGCAGAATAGCAGTCCTCTGTGTAGGAAAGTTTTAAGCATCTGAGCTGGTTCATGAAAAGAGGCAGCTGCCTTGCATGCTTCCAGGCATATCTTCCTCTGGCCTGGCCTGATCTTCAAACCCGACCTTTGGGCTGTGCCATCTGTGCACCGAATCTACAATGGCATACGGAAGAGGAATTCTCGGCAGCTACCCCAACCGTTATAGAACTTCCTACGTTATGCAGCAGCAAATGCATATTTGGGATGTGTATGTATGTGGACAGCTCTGGCCAATCCAAGACTCCCTCGGCATGTGTACTTGTGTGTAGTACAAGCACATTTCTTGCATATCTTTTATGTATAGCACCAAGTGCATTTTTTGTGTGCATAACACATGAAGAGAAAGCAAGCATGGACAGGTCTGTGTGGCTTCTTCCTTCACATCGTGCAGGATAAAAAGGTAAAGGGACCCCTGACCATTAGGTCCAGTCGTGACCGACTCTGGGGTTGTGGCGCTCATCTCGCTTTATTGGCCGAGGGAGCCGGCTTCCAGCTTCAGGGTCATGTGGCCAGCATGACTAAGCCACTTCTGGTGAACCAGAGCAGTGCATGGAAACGCTGTTTACCTTCCTGCAGGAGCGGTACCTATTTATCTACTTGCACTTTGAGGTGCTTTTGAACTGCTAGGTTGGCAGGAGCAGGGACCGAGCAATGGGAGCTCACCCAGTCATGGGGATTCGAACCGCCGACCTTCTGATCGGCAAGTCCTAGGCTCTGTGGTTTAACCCACAGTGCCACCTGCGTCCCTTATCGTGCAGGATAGTGACTGCAAAATGTAGCATTCTG